TACAGAACACACCTGTATTAAAGTATATTATTAATGCAATGGATGATGTAGTTTACTTGTTTACTATTATTCTGTGTTGTGATACTGTACATGACGTCTTCCACCCCCGAACGTTTCCGTCATTCTGGTTTTGGGGTGTGACAATTGATGACATCCAGGTCTATTCTAAGACCGAGGAGCATCATGAGGAGCACTTGAGGGAAGTGCTAGAGACCTTAAGGAGGGAGAGGCTTTTCGCAAAGTTCTCCAAGTGCGAGTTCTAGTTGCGTGAGGTACAGATTCTGGGGCATCTTGTCAACCAGAAGGGTATATTGGTTGATCCAGCCAAGATAGAGGCTGTGATGCAGTGGGAGGTCCCAAGGTCTCCATCCGAGATTCGGAGCTTCCTGGGTTTGGTAGGGTATTACAGGAGATTTATTCAGGATTTCTCTAAGATAGCAGTTCTGTTGACCTGACTGACCAATAAGTCGGTAATGTTTCGCATGGGTTCTGAGCAGTAGGCAGCCTTTGAGATACTCAAACAGCGACTGTGAAAGGCACCGATCCTTACTCTGACAGAGGGGGTCGATGATTTCATAGTCTACTGTGATGCTTCGATCTCAGGTCTAAGAGCAGTGTTGATGCAACGAGGACACATGATAGCTTATGCTTTGAGGAAATTAAAGCCTCATGAGGCTAACTATCCAACGCATGATTTGGAGCCAGGGGCGGTAGTATTCACCCTCAAACGACTGCGAGATCCTTTATCCCCCGGGTAAGGCCAATGTTGTAGCATATGCGCTAAGCTGCGAGGCGGTGGCAGCCCTGATCCGATACATTTATCTGAGGATGACAGTGATGACTCCATTGTTGGAGCAGATTGGGGAGGCACAGGTTAAGGCCCTAAAGGAGGAGCGACAAAAGTGTGAGAGGATCGTGTGTCGGGTGACCTCATTTGATTATGACAGTCGAGGGTTGCTGACCCTGCATGGGAGGGTCTGTGTGTCGTACTGGGGTGGAGTACGGCAAGTGCTGATGGATGAGGCCCACAATTCTTGGTTCTCTATCCATCCAGGGACAACAAAGATGTACAAAGATCTTCGACCCGATTACTGGTGGCCCTGCATGAAGCGGGGTGTGGCTTGGTATGTGGAGAGATGCCTGAACTATAGGAAGGTCAAGGCGGAGCACCATAGGCCTCACGGAAAAATGCACCATTAGCCATCCCGGTGTGGAAATGGGAGGATATCACTATAGATTTCATCACCAAGCTTCCCAGGACCGCACGTGGGGTCGATTCGATATGGGTCATTGTGGATCGGTTGACCAAGAGCGCTCACTTCATACCGATCCAGGTGAGTATCTCATTCGAGAAGCTGGTCGAGATTTATGTGCGGGAAGTAGTGGCACGTCATGGTGTGCCTGTCTCGGTGGTGTCAGACCGAGATGTTCGGTTTACTTCCAGGTTTTGGAAGCAGTTTCACGATGAGATGGGTACTCGTATCCATTATAGCACTGCTTTCCACCTTCAGATAGACGGGCAGAGCGAGAGGATGATTCAGACTCTCGAGGACATGCTACGGGCATGTGTCCTAGATTTTGGTGGCAGTTGGGATACGTACCTTCCGTTAGCGGAATTTTCGCATAACAACAGTTATCACTCCAATATATACCGACCTCCTTTCGAGATGCTATACGGTAGGAAGTGTAGGACCCCAACCTGCTGGGGTGAGGTCGGTCAGAGGGTCATGGGGAGTACGGAGGTAGTACTCAAGACCACGGAGCTGATTCAGCAAGTCCATAGCAGGCTCCAGACTTCCCAGAGTCGGCAGAAGAGTTACACCAACAGGAGGCGTTCGGACCTGGAGTTTCAAGTGGGTGACATGGTCCTCCTGAAGGTGTTGCCCTGGAAGGGTGTCATTAGATTTCAGAAGTGGGGCAAGTTGGCCCCCAGATTCATTGGTCCATTCAAGGTTTTGGCCCTGGTAGGTCGGGTTGCTTATCGGTTAGACCTTCCAGCAGAGCTCAGTCAGATTCACAACACGTTCCATGTTTCTCAGTTGCGAAAGTTCTTGGTGGATGAGGCAGTAGTGGTACCCCTTGAGGATATTCAGGTCAATGACAGTCTGAATTACGTTAAGAAGCCAGTGGCAATCCTGGATCGCAAGACAAAGGAAATGGGGAATAAGAAAGTCAATTTAGTGAAGATTTAGTGGCAACATAGAAAGGGTTCAGAGTGGACTTGGGAATCCAAGGAGGAGATTAGGGAACACTACCCGGAGTTATTTCCGAAAACAACAGCAGCAGCAATAGACTTCGAGGATGAAGTCTAATTCAAGTGGGGGTGAATTGTAATGATCGACTCTCGAGGTATTAATTTATTAATTCTTCTTAATTTATGGGTGGGCCTAGGATAGATAAGAAGTACTTTTGGATTGGACTTAAGCTTTTGGTCCAAATATTTGGGTTTTCCATAAGACGTACGCTAGATGTAGCTTGGGTGTACATGGGGCATAGTGGTTTGCATCGGATGCAAAGGACGCGCACACGTACGCGCAGTATACCAGGAGTACATGCAATGTACGTGAGCAGATAGCAAACCCTAATTTTTAGGGTTTAAGTCATATAAATACCCCATTATAGCCTCCCCTAGCTTCTTACCAGTTCCCTCATCCTCAGGAAACCCTTATTGCGCCCTATACTCCATTGTTGTGTGTGTTTTACCCTTGTGAGCTCATTTTGGTGAAGGAAAGCTTTGAAGAAGAAAAGAAGAGGTTGGAGGAGAATCCTTTGAGTGCCTTGAGCTCAAAGATCTAGATTAAACTCATCCTTTGGCATCTAAAGGAGGTATAAAGCTCTTAGCTTTCTTCCTCAAAGTCTAGATCTAAGGTTTTGGAAGTTTTGGACCTCTTTAGGTCCAAAGTTGGGATCTTGATCATGCAACCTCGAATTTGAGCCTAAGGTTGCCACCCTTAAGGCTCAATGAGTTCCTTTAGCTGTAAAGTTGCATGCTTTGAGGCCATTATGAGGCATGCATGAGATCAAGCCATTTCTATAGAGTTAGTTGTCACTATTTCATGTTTGGACTCATTTGGTGGGTTGCAAGCCACCAAGTGATCGACTTTATGGAGTAGAATGATGAAAAGGACTTGGATATGCAATTGTAGCTTCTGAGACTAAGTATTAAGTGCTTAATGTGGAAAGGAGCTTAACAGGGTAGTACATTGGGCGTACCATCCAGTACGTGCAGCGTACAAGCCATGCAATATGTACGAACTATGTACAGATAAGTACACCCCGATTACTAATCAGATTTGGGCTTTTGCATTTTGGGCCTCGGTTTGGGCCAATCATTGGACTTGTCCGCATTTGGGCCTCAGTAAGTCCATCAGAAGTCATAGTGTGGACCAAGGGTATGTTTGGGCTTAGGTAGGGCCCATATGAGGAGTTAGGCCCAATTCAGAAAATTGGGCCATTAGTGGGCCTTTGGTGGACTTAGGAGGATTAGTTGGATTTGGACCTTGAGAGAGAGAGAGAGAGAGAGTCCAAAGTTAGAGCAGGGGTAATTTCGTCAATTTACCCTTAGTAGTACCCTCAGTGTTCTCACTATGTACTTTTGTATAGAGTCGACCCGGGAGATGCGGGAGCATCAAGCAGAGATTACCTCACTCGAGTGTTCAACAGCCAGATTGAGAGGTGAGTTTTCCTCCAGTAGGAACGGGTCTAAGGCACCAATGCTGGCCCGTTTCAATAGTAGAATATGTTGGGGTTAGCTCGATACAGATTATGTGTTCCGGACATTGGTCCGATGTCGGGGCGGTCCCGAGAAGTAGTTATGTATGCTTGATGTCTTTGTGATTCATGCATGTTTATGTGTTATGTGTATGTGTTCCGGACTTTGGTCCGATGTCGGGGCAAGCCCAAGGCAGATTATATGATTATGTTATGTGTTATGATATATGCTTGTTGTATATGTGTCGGGGTAAGCCCAATGCCGGGGTGAGCCCGATGCCCGATGCGGTCGAGTACCGGGGTGAACCCGATGCTGGACAGGAGTCCGATGTCGGGTAAGCCAATGACAGGATACGTCCTGATGCAGTGGGAGTAGTCCCAGATTTACGTTGTTTGTTATATGTATTTTGTATGGTATGTGGTAGTTTGGGGGAGCTCACTAAGCTTTGTGCTTACAGTTTCAGTTTTGGTTTCAGGTACTTCAGCGAGTAAAGGGAAGGGCTCGAGCTGATGGCATTACATACACCACTGATGAACAACCTGGGAGTTTACTCTGATTTTCATTATGAGACGGTTATTGTTATCAGATTTTATGAGTTTTAAGATACTTGTTTTACGGTTTTATTTTATGGCAATGAGATTTATGTTTGATAAATGATTTTTAAAAAGAAATTTTTGCCTCATATTTTTGGGATGTTACAACGAGACTTGGTAGTTTCTTTCAATGCACTAATTGTACTATTGAAAGAATCAAGTTGAGATTTGATCCTTAAATCGGCAGACTCGTCCATTTGATTAAGCTTATCCAATATGCGATGCTCTTAAGCTTGCAACGTAACATCAAAATCAAGAGCAAATATCGAATTTTTACCACCACCATCAGCTTGCAAATGAAGTAAAGAGTTCAACTTCCTGTTCAAAATTTTAAACTACTTTCCTGACATCAACATATGATCAAGAATGTTTTCTTCCTCAGAATTGAATTGTATTTCAGCAAAAGAACCCCTAAAACCACCATCATCCATATCATCGTCATTAGCATTTTATGGCTCTTCACGGGATTGGGAAGGAAACAAAGAGGTACTAGGTTGATGGGTAATGTTGTCAAAAGTAGGAGAATGAGAAACCGAAGTATTTTGAGTTGTATTAGGAACAATATATGGTGGTAATGAAACAGCGGTGTCAAGAACAGAAGTAGGAAGTGATGAAGATCTAACGATAGTAGTAGTACCTTGGGCTTCGGTATGTAAAACAGAAGTAGGAAGTGATGAAGATCTAACAGAAGTAGTTCACACCTCCTCCTTAAATAACTCAGTATTCGAAACTTCGGGTGGTATGATCGGTGTCTGCTCAGGAGTTGATTGCTTTGGTTGTTCACCGTGATTAATGGTTGTGTCCACTATCGATGTTTCCATATTGCCATAAAGATTTCTAGTCTCCTCGAAAATTGATTGAGATGGAGAATCCCTCACCGGTGAATTATGACCCAATTTCTCAGTGATTGGTGTTTCAGGAACCACCTCTTCATCAGTAGAATCTTCATGCAATACCAACTTCCTTTGCTTCTTGTTTTTCTTTTGTTTCGTAGAAATGTGCTTGGCTATGTCTTTATCATGCCTCTTCTTCGATTATGGATAAACTGGTGTTGGAATTTCATGAAAAACTACCCCTTTTCTAGTCACTTGAGGTTTGTAATGAAGTGATTGTGAAAAGCTTTTAGATCTTTTATTGGGATGATGAGCAATTTTCTTCAATCGTTTAAGAACACCAGACTTCGAAGAAACTACCTTTGTTTCTTGAACAACTATCTCTTTTTCCTACACAAAAGGTTTTGTAAAAATTTCGGTGGATCCTGTTTCTTCGAAGTTTTATCCCCCTTAGTTGGTATTACTCAGAACCTCACAAGGATTCCGTAAGTGCAATGTGTGCCAAAGAAAAAGATAAGAAGCAAAGTAAGAAAATTTTAGTTTTGTGATGTCAATAATATTTGACACAAATGTAATTAGATCCCACACAAAGATCACTTTGTTATTCATCAAGAGAGATGACTAACAACTTGTGTGGTTTCCTGTGAATTGCAATCGAATACTTATAGAGAAGTATCGAAGGGCTTCTTTTATCAGGTTTTCGAAGGTGGCTTAAAATTTTGTTACAAAGCACATCTAAACATAAGAGTGACAAGTTGTAAACAAAATTACCTATTTGACCAGTGTAGTCAGTGACAAGTAAGCATTAGAAAATTTAGTAAGTAACAAAGGTTGAGAATGACACTCAATCGGATGTCATATTCATTAACCAAAATTATTCCTAAATCTTGTTTGGTAACAAATGTTGTGGGTTTCGAACATTTGATCAAGATTATTACAAAAGAAAGAATATGATTGTGAGTATCAAAAAATAGGTACTGAAACAAAGGTTTCGCTAAAATCTGGAACTAAGTTCCCCGTCAATTCCTTATTGTTCGAAAGTTTGGGTTTCACTTTCATCACGGTCTCATGATGTTGGATCATAAACAAACAGTTTTAATATGTCTAGATCCTAATTGGTTTATACCAAAAATTTCTTGGACATATGTCATTGTGTGTGAATGTGAGAGAACCTTAGGATGAAAAAGGTTGGTTTAAAGATTTTAAAGTACCATTGTTGTTTTTTAGACCAAGCAGAAAACACTAAACTCAGTTGAGTAGAGTATGATAGCTCAATGACTAATGGGAATATAGCCTAGTTGGGAAGAATCCTCAGAAAGAGAAACTCATTAAGGCTTCAAAACCTATTGAGTCGTGGAGGCTTGGGTCGACATGTTGCAGCATGCTTCTAGGGACATCCTAACTAGCACATAGTTTTGAAAATATAGCTCTCCCTTAAGTAGCAAGCATGAACCTAAAAAAATCTTTGTTAATACATGCACCTGAAAAGATTAACAAAAAAAAACAACACAAAAAATATTTTTGGATTTTAGAGTTTTTGAATGAAAATAACAAAAATAATGAAAAATATTTTTGGTATTTTGATATTTGAAAATTAAGAACAAGAATGAAAATATTTTTGTTGGTTTTTATTTTTGATAACGAAAACAAAAGAATTACACCCGACTTACAAAAATTTGTAACATAGCAAAAGTAACAAAAATATTGACAAACCGATGAACATGATACCGAAAGCAAAGCATGTCGAAGCGTTGACCATGAACTGTAACCACCACGTCGACAATTTTCGACCATTTTGCCTTTTTCATTCTTTCGAAATGTGTCCAGGAACAGAATTCGCATCCAATATTCCTAATCCATGCATGATCCTTACGAAAGATTTTTCGTCCAACGGTTTTGTAAAAATATCAGCAAGCTTATCAGTAGTTTTTACAAAATGGACTTCAATGTTTCCATCTTCAACATGATCCTTTAAAATGATAACGAAGAGCTATGTGTTTAGTTTTCGAATGTTGCACAGGGATGTGGCAAATGCGAATGACACTTTATGAATCACAATCCAACGGAATTTTCTTCATGTTGATTGCATAATCACACAGTTGACTTTGAATCCATATGATTTGAGAAGTGCAAGCTGCAGCAGCCACATATTCTTTTTCTGTTGTGGAAATTGAAACTCATGTTTGTTTCTTCGATTTCCAACTTACAAGCTTCCCATATAGTAATTGACATCCGCCACTTGTTCTTTTACGATCAAGATTACAACCACCCAAATCTGCATCTGAAAATGCTTGAATAAAGAACCTTGTTTTTTAAGGATACCACAATCCCAATGAAGTTGTTCCTTTAAGATAACGAAAAATATTCTTGACTACAGTGAGATGAAGTTCTCTAGGGTTTGATTGTTGCCTGGCACAATTGCACACATAAAACATGATATCAAGTCGACTTGCCGTAAGGTAAAGTAATAAACCTATCATGCTTCGATACAAAGTGATATCCACAACTGGTTTATCTAATGAAGGACTCGGTTTCATTCCAACAACCATAGGAACTCTAAGCTTTGCGCTATTCGTCATGCCAAATTTTCAAGTAGATTTCGTGTATACTTCTCTTGATTGATGAATATTCCTTCTCTTCTTTGACAAATATTTAACCCCATAAAGTTGTTATTTTTCCCCATCATGCTCATTTCAAATTGACTTTTCATCAAATTTTTGAATTCGCTTGACAAAGCAAGGTCAGTAGAGCCTAAAATAATGTCATCAACATAAATTTGAACAAGCATTAGATGTTCCCAACTTTCCTTCGAAAAAGAGTGGGATCAACTGATCCTTGTTTAAATTTCAATTGCTTTAAGAAATTAGTAAGAGTAGCATACCAAGCTCGTGGTGATTGTTTTAATGCATAAAAAACTTTATCTAAGATATAACAATGATCAGGATATTCTTCGTTAATAAAACCTGGGGGTTGTTCAACATACACATTCTCTTCGAGTTCACCATTGAGAGACGCACATTTTACATCTATCTGGTAGACATCAAATTCCTTGTGCGCTACATAGGCTAAAAATATTCGAACAACTTCGAGTCTTGCAACATGGACAAAGGTTTCCTCATAGTCTATACTTCTTGTTGCAAAAAGCTTTTAACTACAAGCCTAGCTTTATTTCGTACTACATTGCTATCTTTATCAGTTTTGTTTTTAAAGATCCATTTTAGGCCCACAACTAAAACATCATTTAGTTTGGGAATTAATCTCCATACCTTGTTTCTTTCAAATTCAGCAAGTTCCAATTGCATAGAAACAACCCAATCAGGACGTTCCATAGCATCTTTGATTGATTTAGGTTCAATTTTCGAAATAAAAACATTTAACATGCAAAATTCTTGATTTACATTAAGTACCTCATTCTTTGCATGTAATTGAGCTCTTGTAAGCACTCCTTCATGTGGATCACCTAAAACTTGTTCTTTTGGATGACTTTTAATCCATCTATCCATTGGAGGATATGCAGGATCAAAGTCTAATGATGAATCTTCGAACATTTCTTCAGTTTCAGATCCTTCACCTGCATTTGAAATATTCTCATTAATATCATGAAAAGCATCAGTTTGATCATTTGAAACATTTGTATTATTTCCAACTTCCTCCCCCACAACAATTGGAATAATATTTTGATGCTCCCCCTTAACATCAACATCCATTCTTTCTCTTTCCCCCTCAAAATTAGGCTCCCCTTCAACTTGATCATTCATCAAATCATTGTTATCCTGTGTAAGTGTGGAATCATCCGAATGTTTCGACGCTTCTGGCACGTGATTATCATCAAGATTAATTTCGGCATCAATGGCACAATCTGAAACACCAAAAATCAAATCATAATCAAAATCTAATGAATTCAAAGATCTAGATTCAATATTTGATTCATTCATTATTGGTTATTGTTCATAGATTTTATCAACTTGTTTAACATAATAATCATCAAAAGTAAGATTAAATGTTTCTTTGATTTTTCTTGTTTGTTTGTTTAACACCCTGTAAGCAACCGAATTGTGCGAATATCCCAAAAGTTTCCCTTCGTTAGCTTTTGGCTGAAACTTCGAAAGATGATCATTGAGATTCATGATAAAGCACCTACATCCAAAACCATGGAAAATTTTAATAGTTGGTTTATGGTTGTTGATAATTTCATAAGGAGTGATGTTAAAATGACGATGAATAAATGATCGATTTTGAGTAAAACATGCAGTAGACACTGCCTTGGCCCATAGATATTGAGGAAGATTCACATATATGAGCATCGTTCAAGCAAACTCACAAATTGAACGATTTTGTCTTTCTACAACACCATTCTGTTGAGGATTGTAAGGTAAAGAGAAATTATGTGAAATTCCTTTGTTTGTTAAAAACGAATCAAGAACATTGTTCGTGAATTCAGATCCATTGTCACTCTTGATCTTTCAAACCTTTTTCTTCAAACTTAGTTCCATATGCTTGATGAATTCGATCAGTGCTTTTAGTTTCGGACTTGAGCCTTAGACAATATACCCATGTGAATCTTGAAAAATCATCATCAATGACTAATATGTATCTCTTTTTGTTGAGTATCACAACTGTTATGGGTCCACATAGATCAATGTGAAGTCATTCCAAAGGCTCAACAATATTCAAATCAATCACAACAGGATGAACTTATATGTGCTACTTTCCTTGTTCGCAAGTTTCACATAAAGTCTCATTATCAAATTTTAACATAGGTAAACCTCTTACCAGATCTTGTACCACCAATTTATTTAAATTTCGAAAATTCAAATGAGATAATCTTCTATGCTAAAGCCAGCTAACGTCAGACAAATCTTTTGAAAGTAAGCAAACCGAGGGAATCCCAACAATTGGATTGATGTCAAGAGTAAACATGTCGCCTTTTCATTTGGATTTGAGAAAGATTTCCTTTGTTTCAATGTTTGAAATCACACTGCCTTCTTCTTTAAACACCACTTGATTGTCAGTGCCGACAACAAGTTGCGAAACACGTATCGTGTTATGTTGAAGACCTTCGACATATGCAACTCTGTTGACTGTGAAATTCCCATTTGTAACTTTTCCATATCGTTGAACATGGCATTTATTGTTGTTGCCAAACTTTACTACTCCAGCATTCTCCAAAGTCCTATAATCACGAAGATTCTCCTTTCGACCAGTCATGTGACGAGAGCAACCACTATCAATATACCATTTTTCATCATATTACTCGTCACTCATAACCTGCAATTAATGAAATAATTTAGGTCCCTAAGACTATATGGGTCCTTGGTTATTAGTTTGAAAAATATTGTTAAACGAAGATCATTTGATCCAATTGCTCATCACTATCAACTAAGTCTACTTCGTTAGTTAAAGGCACTAGAAAAGTAATTATTCGTTGGTTTAAAATCTTCATTAAATTTTTCCTTTTGCTTCTCAGCTTGTTTCTCGATAACCTTTGCCTTTGGAAGAGATTTCCATTGTTTGACAGGAATACTCAACTCTTGTGAAGATGAACTTCCTTTCGATGATTCATTCAAATACTTCTCATACTCCTCCTTGATCATTTCTTGAGAAAATTTTGAAGATTTAAATCTCTTTCCTTTACCTTCCAACCAATGATTGATGTTTTTCACATTTGTTTTCCCTTTAACAAATGAAGACTTTACTGATTCTTTCAATGGTGGATTTGGAAAATGAGTTTGATCAGGCTTTTAAGATTCGAATTTCGTCCATGAACTTGTAACTTATCATAGTGTCTTGTTGGTTTTTGTGTTGAAACATGATGAGTATAACGATTTTAAAAACAACTTTGATAACCAAAGAGAAGCTTGACAAGCTTGTGGCATCTTCCTCCTCTTCACAAAACACATTTTCAGAAGCTGCAGTGAAGGCTATGATTGTCAACTTTGTAAAAGAGCATGAGGCTTCAATCTCTAAGGCAACCTTTGCTATAGATGCCTCCACCCAGACCTGCAAAGTAGCGACCAAAAAATTTGAAAAATTAATTCATGATGCTAACATTTTTCTAGAGTCATTACAGGGTGCAGCGGAGTTGGATGCAAACAAAGTGAACTCCACAGTGGAAAATCTTGTTGTGTCTCTTGAGACAGAAAAGCAGCACTTTTCCACCATGCATCAGACTATCCAGACAGATAAAGTCGCATGGCGTACTCTACCAATGAGCGTCTCCAGAAGCTTCAAGAAGACTTGGCCATGGAAAGCAGGATCATGGATGAATTGGCTCTCAAAACAACTCAGCTACAGACCAAGTCTCTACAACTTTCTCAGGCAACCAAGGAGATTGACAACCTTCGTTATGAGAGGGCCGTTGTCAAGAGTTGTGTCTCAGATGTTCATGCTCTTCTCTCCAATGTTCTGGAAGCTCACGACTCAATTCTCACTCTTTCTGTCAGACGTCATCTTGTAGAAAAACTTGGCCCAGCACTTGAAATGTTAAGTCGCATAGAGGGTGTTTCGGAGACGGTTGTCCTTCCGAAACAAAAGGGAGAATGAATTACTAGCACTACTCAGCCTCCTCTTACAAGCAAAACTGTTCCTCCAACAGTCACCACTGAACAACCGAAGGGTAATGAAGCTTCGGGTTCCAGTGTGAAGGACAAGCGAAAAGGTGTTCTAGAAGATAGTGACAAAGAAGAAGAGACCATTGTTGAGGCTCTGAAGCGAAAGAAAAGGGATAGGGAACATGATCTCAATGCTAAGGTTGCTAGGGAAGCAAATGAGAAGGAGAGACCAAGGAACGAAGCTCACGATCTTTTGGAAAACAGAAAAACCCTTTTTCCTCTTTGGTCGTTGGAAAGGCTAATTAAAGAAGCTATTGAATGTCCAAGCACACATTGGCTTGAGCCGGTTGTGTCTCTAGACTGTGAGAACTCTAGAGATTCACAGTTTGACATGCCTATAACCCAAAAGGCATTTATCTTTCACTGCTTCCTTCCTATTGCCGAAGTTCCCCATCTTGATCCAAAAGTCGACAGGGATCTGATTAATTTTTATCTTGAGTTTGCTCATCCTCAGTATCTTACATGGAGCGCTCAAAAGATAACTTTTGTCAGGGTTCTAAAACCAACTGCTGCAGGGAATTTCATCAACGTCACATTCAAGGTGACCAGAGGTTCAGGAAACTCTGGGCATACAATTTCTCTGGCAAATCTTCCAAATCGCAATCCTCACGACTGGATTTTGCTATGCAACTTTTTGATCTCCAATCCAGTTGAATGTGAGCCGATCATCGATCACATCAAGGGGATGCTGGTGTTCTACATTCTAGAAGTGGCAAAGATGGATCAAGAAATTACTTCGGTCCTTAGAAAGAAGCCAATAATGGTTCCCATTGGTTCATCTGGTGACATCAATAGATTGACGATGGGGAAGATTGACCCGAAGCTCAACTCTATGATGTTCACCAGAGGCGGGGGTCAAAAGTGTTTGTTCTCTCTGATTGAAAAAAATCTTTTCACTACAGCTTGCTTGGAACACGTTTTGGAGATCATTCATAAGTGCAAGCAAAACAGTGAAGGTGACAAGAAGTATTTCACTTACATAATTAGATGGTATATCAATTTTTGTCAAGTCATGCTTGCTATCATTCACAAGTTGTTCAAAGTGGTGAAGCGTGTTGCAGTGAATCAACCGAAGTGATGTCTTGCACCAATAGACGCAAAGGGGGGGATTGTTAGGACTCGATGTGTTGCGTCTGTGGCTCGCTCCTTGGCCCAGTTTTATTACCGGTTGGGGCTTGTCCAACCGTGTTTATTTTGATTAGGGTTTTAGTATTTAAGGTACATGCATGCATCCTTTGTAATCATCGCTTTCATTTATTATTCTCAGAATTGTACTACAAACCCTAGCTCGCCTCTACAGTGGAAGTTCTTCATCAAGCTCTGTTGAGGCGTGACTATTCTTGATTCATTAAGCTATATTTTGATTCTATCCTATGTTCTTAGTGTTTGTTTGTTAGTTTTACTGATTAGCCTGTTGAAGATCTAATCGATCTAAGAGTTTTCAACTCATCACTTGTGATCATTTATGAGTGGCTCGTGAACGACTAAAGAAGTACTTATACAAGAAGCAATGACTAAAGACTTTCGAGGTAGGTGAGAAAGTGATTTTTAAAGTCTCAAATTGTATAGGTTAGAATTACAAACATAGTTGGAGGGGACCCATAATGTATTTCATGTTTGCTGCTTACAGAAGTTCTTAGAGGATGAGCCTATCATTCTACCATTGGAGGAGCTTCGAGTTGATGAGTTGAAGCATTTGGTTGAGGAACCCGAGGTTATTCTAAAGCGTGAGACCAAATAGTTGTGCAAGAAGAGGGTGAAGCTCATGAAGTTCCTATGGAAGAACAAGCATGGTGATGATATGACTTAGGAGCTTAAGGATAGCATAAGGGCTCATTATCCTAGGCTATTTGTTCTGGTTTCTGATTCTAAGATAGAATTCTATTAAGGATGGGAGGAATGTAAGGACCCAAAATTCTTATTTCGTCAACGAGGTTAGTTTCTGCTATGTTTTCCGTTAAGTTCACATTTTATCATGGTTAGAACTTAGTTACAAGGGCTAAAGTGTAAGAAAATGATTATTGACCATGTATATGGGTCATAGGGTAATTTTTCTCATACTTTGAGGGCTTGACTTGTAACTTATGATGTATATAATAAATCTTAACCCTAAAATCTGAGAATTACTTCTCATTTGCAGCTACCAAACACTTAGAGAGATTTCTTTAGAGGGTTTCCATATTCAGATTTGTGAAGAAGGTGATACCATTTTTAGTGGAGTTTAGGTTGGTATTCTTGGATTGCTCTCCTTATCAATCCAATCTCTTGTAGCATCTCGATTTCACAGGAGGTATGTGATGTTTTCCTTGTGTTTCTTCTATTTCTTTTGGTCACACTCATGAGGAAGCCTTGGATGATGCAAAAGTCCATGGATTAAGAGTGTTGCTAGTCTCTTTTAGTGTTCTAGCCATTATGAACGCTTGGTTATGGTCTTGGAGTGTTAAAATCATCCCAAAAGGGGTGTTAACTGGACCTAGTTTAGAGACTAGATGATTGGAAAAAAAAATCCTTGTGACTGTTAGCATTCCCATGGAACAGTATACTACTGACCATGACATGGTGATGGGAGGGGTCGTGTTTCCTGATCGCCACTTACGGACCAACTGCGATGTGACACGTACATAGCCACGACGCGCTTTCTAGACATGACAATTTATGTTCTATTTGTAATATATTTCTAATCAGGCCTTTGTGTGATCTGTTAGGGGGCTTAATTGCTTGTTGGAAGGTATTCTCCTATGTTCATAACCTTACATATCTTGGACAATAGTTGAGTCTTGATGCAATTCAAGTACTTTTTTAGGAAATTACATATCCTAGAATTAGTGGATTGAATCTAGAATGTTGTAGGATGCATGTGTCCTGATTATGAGTGGTTTGTATGTTAGGAATGTTGATTCCTTTCTATGATTGAAAGTTTATGATGTATTAATTGCTAGACTCTCGTTATGATACTTTGGTGTGAAATGTGTAATAGGTTCATGTTAGAAAGAAAGATATGTGTATATTGTGTGTGATGATTGAAGGTTGTGATTTCCTGGAAATATTTGTCTGTGATGATTAGGGCAACACATACTAGTGATATAATATGCATTGATGATGAAATGATAATATATACATGATTATATATTGATGAAAAATGCTTTAACTTTGTATGCTATATTTGCATGTTTATATGGTGGGGAGTTTGGAAGTAATATGTCGTTAATATTAACAATAACTGAGAATAATTACTTAGGTAGATCAGTGAGGAATGTTGTGTAACCCTTGTGTGACGAATTAAAATAATATTAAGTAAAATAGGGAATACACTGGTGGGGTTAAGGGGTAACAACCTAGACTTAGGTGTGTATCCTATTCGGATTTCGTGATGGCTTAATAGGTTGGAATAGCTTAAGCCAATAGTGACTCCGAGTGGTTTTTCTAGACAACCATTTAGTACATGGTTCGTGGTTTCGAGGAAGGGAGTGATGTTGGCGTGGTGATGGTGCTAAATCAAACATCGTGTTTGGGTGGAAAGTTTCTAGTGATGGGAAACAATGATTAATTACCACTCTCGAATGACAGCGTATGAAATTGTACCTGCATCATCAGAGTAGAGAATGCATCACATTAGGGTAATGTTACCGGTGAGATTCATGTCTCACTTTGTGCATTTGGTCGAGCCGCTCACGTTAGTAGTGAATGAGGTCATTACCTCTTAGGTTAGTGATGGACCTAGTATAGGGAAGGGTCGAATCGGTCACTTAGTAGTGATCAGGGTTTTACATTTTGGTTTAGTGATGGACCTATGAGTAAAGTTTTTACCTTATGGTTTAGTGATGGACCCAATGGTCCGGATAGTGAAGATTAATATTTATAAAATATTGAACGATGAATAATGAAGGTAAATACTAGTGTAAACTCAAGTGAAGATTAATATACTAGAGGGATGATTGTGTGATGTTATGAATGTGTGTAAATGAATGCATGTTATGCCATGA